AGCGTTAACAAAGACTATGTACTCCTTAATGATGGAAGCCCAAATTTAGGAGTAAGGAGAGTAAGTTAACAGGATTTAGCTCTAGCGTAATTTAGAGCTTGAATTCGATAAAAGATTAAATATATCTAGAAGAGTTTGTAAAAGAGGTTAAAGGTCGTTCTGAATACAATATGGTAATTTTGTCCTAGGACCCTTTTTTTATCCCTACTTCTACAACTCCTTGTAAGTGAATACCATATTTGTGCTTAGGTAACATATATCCATCTTTATTATCTTTGCTTGGTGCTTCATATAAAGGAATATGTAATCTATCAATAGCTCCAATAATCATTGGAAATCCTTGAATTTGTTCAAATCCAATATTAACTTCTTGTCTATAGTTTTCAGTTGGCCAAACTATATACTCTGATCTTAAAGATTGAATAGCAATAATTATTCTATTTATAAAATTTAATACTGTTGCTTCACAAACTCCAAATAAGGTTGAAATTGTCCAAAGAGAAGAGTTTGTACCTAATTGATTTAAAGTAATAGCAAGCTGTAATTCAACACTTGTTTGAAGATTATTTGAATCGGAATAAAATATTGGATAGTATTGAATTTTTTCAACTAAAGCCCAAAAGGTTTTTTTATCCATTCTAAGTGTTTTTCTAAACTCAGATTCATTATAATTAAATAGATAATTTTGAACCCAATCATAAGATTTAGGAACTTTATTACAAATAACTTCAGTATTTAATAAATTTTGACTATTTAAGTCTAAATTCATTTCATCTTCCAAATCTAAATCCATTTCATCATCACTTAATTCAGCTTCTTTAACAATTTTAATTACTTTTAAGCATTGTTTTTTATATAAATTTTCAGAAGACATTTTAATAAAATAAAGTAATAATTTTAATGAAAGATAATAAAAATTTTTTACAAATTTATTTAAACTTATAATAGATTATATATATATAAATAATATTTACAAAATATATGTATAATTAATAATTATACATTTTATCTGACTAAGCTAAAAACCAATTAATTATAATAACAAAATTACAACATTATAAATTCTGCATTTTGCAATATAGTATAGTATAACTATATATTGTGACAAAAAAAGATAAACAAAAGCACAAAATCTAATTGGAATTAGATCAACTCATCAACAATCACTTTGTAAACCTCACATTTAACTGACAATTACTTACTGACAAATTTATTTTCTGAAGCTCATTTTACAGACAAACTAATTCAAACTAATTCTGTTCAATATTATGAGTTAAAATTAGTATAATTTATAAAAAAAAAACTTGTCAGTGAAATAAGCTTCAGTAAGATAGACTGTCGGCGAATAATTGTCAGTGAAATGTGGTGTCTATGAAGTGATTGTTGGTGAAATAATACGAACCATTTAATCAACTCACCAAAAATCACTTTATAAAAACTGCATTGCTTATTTTACTGACAGTCCATTTTATCGAAGCTCATTTTATAGACAAAGTAATTCTGTCTATTATTGTTAGAGTCAGGTTAGAATTAAAATGATACAAATCAATAAAAAACCTAATAATTAAGATAACAGAAAGGAATGTACCCGATCCAAAGGGAATCCCACACATGGTATGATCAATTGAAACTGAAATTATTTATATTAGTTTTAATTGATTACACCATGTGTGAGATTCACTTTGTATCAGGTACATTCTCTCCTGTTAATTAAGAATAATAAATTTTAAACTATAGACATAAGCTTAACTTAATAATTTATAAAGTTATAAAAACATAATCTTGCTTTTAACTAACCCTTATTATATACATAGACTAAGCTTCGATTCTTATATTACTAATTATAAATAGCTGTTAGAATAATTACTTAACACTAACTATAAAGCATTGTCAGAATAATAATTATTTAATACCAACCATAAAGTGCCATTAGAATAATTATTTAACAGTAACTATTCGATTGTTTGATTTTCATGCTAAATCTGATGATTGGTTAAAATTTGCATGACTTGGTCTTTATTCACCGCTTCTGATTTATTTTTTACATCTTGTATTTACAATAGAAATATTGTAAAAAACGTTTAAATCTAACCTGTTAATAATGGGTCTAATCTAGTAATGAATAAAAAAAAGTCGAATTGAATAAGATAATTAACAAAAAAGGCTAACAATTAAATTAATAAACTAATGAAATGTAGTGACAACTAACTTTTTAATAAATATAAACTCATGATTTTAATTTCCTTCACTTGACAATCATTTTTTTTGTTATGATAGTTATTAAATGTAGCTACAATATAATTATTAGAATGCAGAAAACGAGTGCATTATTCAATAATATGATACATACCATAAGTTATCAGCAAAGAATTCTATTAGTTCCACTATCATTAATAATTAATATGAAATATTGGTGCTAAAAGTGAACATTATAATGAACTTTTTCACCCTCCAATACAATTACGTTATAGATTAAAGATCCTTGTTTATTTAATAATATTGCAAACTAGAAAGAAATTTCAAATGTATGTATATACGTACGTACGTACACATACTTTTGCATATATGTATATATGCACATACATACCAGATATATATGTTTTGGGTATTGTTAGTGATACATTCTAAAGATTTTAAATCCATGGTTTTTTCTGAACTATTTTATTTCGCGCTTACCAGAAATAGAAACTTACACCCGTGACTTGCCTATCTGAGTAATTGCCGTAATAGGAATTTGTACTTTAAAAAGAACCGAAGTTTAAACACACCCTTTTCTAACACTTTATGAACGACGAAAGGACCCTTTCACTTCGGATGAAGTTTGTGACTCTTTGAATACTGTTGAGAAACTTTGTATACCAATACAAAGTCTCCTCTCTTTAATTCTTCTATAGTAGGTAAATCATTATCATGTCTTCTTTTAGCACTTTCTTGTGCTCTTTCAATTCGTCTAACAGCATTATTTTTTTCTATAGGTAAAACTTCAATTAATTCGAAAAGTCTTTGAATAAAAGTTCCTTCTAATAATTCTTCTTCATTTTCATCAGGATGTATTGAAAATCAAGCTTCTCTCCTGTACATCAAATAAAATGGAGTAATTTTTGTCGTATTTTGTTTGGCGGTTTGGTATGCGAAAAGTACTGAAGGAATAAGTAAGTCTCATTCTCTTACATTAGTGACTAATTTAGATATAGATTCACACAATGTCTTATTGAATCGTTCAACTAATCTATTCGTTTGTGGATAGTAAGATGTTGAATAGTGATGATTGATATTGAATTTCTTTAAAAATTCATCCATTAGGTTATTATGGAAATGTGTTTCCCGATCTGAGAGTAAGTATTGCGGACACCCATGGAAACATACTATGTTTTTATAAATAAAGTCAGCCACTTTCTGAGCATTAGCATTTTTAATTGCTCTGGCTTCAGGCCATTTTATCATGTAGTCTGTAGCGACTACTATATATCTATTACCTTTAGGAGTTACAGGTAATTTACCAACTATATCAATTCCAATTTTGTAGAATGAAGCTTCTACAGGTATTGGGTGTAATGGGGTTTTACTAACATTTTACCTCTTCTTTGACATGAATTACAGGTTCGGACGAATCTTCTGATATTATTATATATTTGAGGCCAATAGTATTTATTTCTAATTTTATTGAACATTATTTCAATTCCGAAATGTCCTCTTACATCAGCGAAATATATTAACGTAATTTTACGTAAGTTATTACGGCCCGAAATATTGCGCAATAATTACGGTCTG